TGAGGAAATTGGGTCTCGGGCGGCATGGGAACAGTTCATTTAGAGCAGACATGCAGCTGTCGAATTTTGTGTCTGCAGGCTGGCTACGAAGAGATGCCTTGTGCCATGCAGTTTTCATTAACATGCCGGTAAGTGCATGTGCAGACTATAGCCCAATCGGTACGAATGCTAAGCATGTTCGCTGAGGGCTTACATCACGTCGTGGTGTTGCTGAGAAAAAATCCAATTCGTCCGAGTGCTTGCCATGGCAAAGCTGTATCTATACTGCTGCTGATAGCCTGGAGGCCTCTCGGTTTTTCGAGGTTATGAGCGCCCAAGCAGCTGCCGAGGCGCAGCCGAATGGTGTTGTAAGACCGCAGGGGGCAGAGCGGACTTATGGCTCTATGGAACGAGTAACTGTTTCTGGGGCGGTGACTGCTCAGCTTCAGACGGCGGACAGCGCGAATGGTGAGGTTCAAGTCCGTTTGCAAACAAGAGAGGCTGGTTTGTTGCAAAATGATGATGATGATGCAGCAAAGCTGGCTAGAAGTGAGACTGCGGATGTCACCGAAGAGATGCAAGTGGATGCTGTGGGAAGTTCTACTGTGACTGGACTTGCTGCTCAGGAGACGCAGACTGGCGAACAAATCAGGTCCCAAGGGCCTGCAATCGCAGTGGGGATCGCTGAGCAGGGAGTGAGGGCGACAGTGGAGCAAGCAGCGTCAATGGGTGGTGGTTTTTCGTCAGATTACCATACACCAAGATCAAGTATGGGCTCGCAGATTCCTGGCGTGGGCGCTGTGAGAACTGGAACTCAGGGGCCGTGGCCAGGCTGGGTTTCAAGGCTGGGTGATTTATTCAAGGCCCCGCCGATTCCGAATACGTGGTTGCCAAGTCCAATTCCTTCACCCCCTCCGAGGTTGCAAGGACAGTTTCGGATGGCGCCGCATGGAGGAGGTGTACGTCAAGATGGTGCACTGGATGGCGGTTTGGGTTTCCCTAAGGTGTATAGGTCGGGTCCCCCAAATAATACCCCCAGCAGCAGCAGCATCCCTGCAGAAGCAATACAAGCTGAAGTTCAACGGCAAATGGGTAGTTTGTTGTCAAGACTATCCGAAGTGGAAAGTGACAATGCAAGACTTCAGCTGGAACTGCAAGCAGAGAAGCATCGGGCTATTGTTGGAGATGTACCTAGGCATGAACCTAGTCACGGTGTACCTGTTGATGATCCTGTTCAACACGGAGAAGCCCCACCTCTAAGACCTGGAGATCCTGATGGAACTGCTCGAGTACAAGAAGGAAGAAGTGAGGCGTGGAGTAAGCTCTGGGAAGGGATCACAGCAAAGCTTCCGACGAGGAGTACAACCATTGCGGCCAAGCAGCCAACTCTGCCAGTACTGCCTGCTGTGGGCCATGGTGTAGACTCTGAGGACAAGACCAGTGGGGTTCCTCTCAGGGGTCATGAAGGCATTGGAGTCATCGAGGCCTTGGCGCAGAGTATGAGGCAGATTCAAGAGCTCCAAGTCCAGGCCATGACCAAGGATGGAGGAGATGCTGAATCTCCAGAGGCCGTGAAGACTGCAGTGACGACCTTGCCAGGATTGGGAGTACCTGAGGGAGATCAATGTGGGCTTCAGTTTCAGGATTGGGTGATACAGGTTACCACAGCTATGCAGGATCTCTCTACTAGCTCAGGTACATGGTGGGAGCAAGTCAAGGCGAAGGTTGTTGTTGCCTACTCAAGATGGTTGGCTGCAGCACCTCTGGAAAGACTGAGTATTGAGCCGGATGGGACGGGAGAGCTGGTTTCGGGGAGATACTTGAGGATCAATGCTAGGTCTTGTGCAATGGTGATTCAAGCAGTTCCCGAGGCTATCAAGACCGACCTTATCTCCCGAAGAGCCACGCAGAGTATGCCAATGCTACTATTCAGGCTTTACACTTTGTATCAACCGGGGGGTGCAGGTGAGCGTGCAATCATACTGCAGCGTCTACAAGGTGGGGAGAGATCAACAAACACGGAGGATTGTCTGCGTCAGCTGAGGTCGTGGCCAAGATGGGTGCAAAGATGTCAAGATATGGGAATGGCAGTTCCAGATGGTACAGTGTTGGCCCGTGGGCTGACAAACCTCACCCAAGGAGCCATTCACCAGTCTCCAGATGCCCTTTTCCGAACTCAGCTGGTCAGAGCAACCCTTCGTATAGATCAACAACCTGCGCTGTCGGATGTGATGAAGTATCAACAGCATTTACAAGCTGAAATCGAGAACATCTCAACCTTGGGGGTGCCTACTACGACTACACCTTCTATAAGAGCGGTTACCTCGACAGGTCAGTCCGCTTCATCCCCATCGAGTGGGAAGCAAGCGTGCAAGTACTTCATCAAGGCTGGTGGCTGCAGAAGAGGAAGCAAGTGCCCATATCAGCACGACATGAGTTCTCTGTCCAAGAGTGAAAGGGCTAGAAAGTGCTTGGTGTGTGGTGCAGAAGATCATCGTCAACGCGATTGCCCAACCAAGGCGCCTAGAGCAACGGGTGCGAGGGGGTCTACGGCTAGTGCAGAGACCTCAAGGCGTGGTGGAAGCACTGGTGAGCCAGAGTCGGAGACCTCGCCCAAGTCAGTGGCGAGCATAGAGCCTGCGCAAGGGCAGCCGGTGCTGTCATGGGAAGCTTTACTCCAAGCCGCTGCGAAAGTTGCCGGGGTGCCTCCAGAAGCAAAGGCTCCATCCCTGAGGGTCCTGTCAATCCATGGTTTTCCAGAAGATGACGTTCGTGGAGGAGGAGCATACGCGCTGGTGGACTCCGGAGCCACGCATCCACTACGGCGAGCGACAACCCAGCAGGAATGGAATGCGGCTTCTACGGTGGTTGTTCACCTAGCCGGTGGCGAAGTCGTTGAGCTAAAAATGAATGCAGCAGGAACGTTGCTGGTTCCATGTGCAGGGACTACAAGGACAACAAGCACGGCTCCAATTGTACCGCTGGGTTCCTTGGTTGGAGTTCTGGGCTATAGTATGGAGTGGCATGGTTCAAGATGTCGTCTGGTGGGTCGCGATGGAGAGATTTTGAACTTGAGAGTTCGAGATGGCTGTCCCGAGATTACAGAGCGGCAGGCACTGGATCTGATTTCAAGGATTGAGGATAAGAAGCTGGAAGATTTGAAGACGGCAACGGTGTCTACAAAGAGTAAGATCCGGGAATCAGTGATGGCGTTGAACCGAACATGGTTTGACCACTTGGTTTCATACTGCAGATCTGGGATTGGCGCTGAAGCGCAATACGCTGTTCGGGATGCACCTTTCTTTGATGAAGTCCCGAAGGAAGCGCTGTATGGCCTGTCAGAGGCGGACCCAATCAGCAATGGATGGGAGGCCCTCAAGGGACTTAAGCATCTGAACCGACGCACTAGGAAGAAGCTGTGGGTCTCCAGAAGCTGGGTTCTTCATCTATATGCAGGAAAGCCGCCGAATGAGGAGATTCTGTTCCTTGAGCGACAGGGGTTTGCAGTGCTGGAGTTGGACTTACAGAGGGGTAAGAGCCATGACGTATGTGATCCATTGGTGTGGAGGGCCATCGAGTGGGCTGCAAGGTCTGGAAGGATCGCGTCAGTTGTGGGAGGCCCGCCTCAGAATACGTTTATGTTGAGGAGAAGTATGACCCCAGGTCCGGAACCAGTTCGCAGTAAGGAATACTTGTATGGTGGTTGGTATGGTCAAGCGCCAAAGGAGCTGGAGTTGGTGAATCGTCACACAAGCCTATTTGTCAAGATGATCTACATACATGCTCTTGCAACAGCAGGAAGGTGTGTGTATCCACCGGAGCCGAATGATGTTAAGGAAGTGGGTTTCATGCTGGAGCAACCAAGGGATCCAAGAACTTATTTATCCTTTTCGCACCCGCTCGTCGAGGACTCAGTGAGTTTCTGGAGGACAGGTTTGTGGATTCAGTACGCCGAGGAAGCAGGTTTGACAACGTACAGCTTCGATATGTCTTCGCTTGGTAAAGCACTGGCTCGCCATACCACAGTTGGTACCAATCTTCCGCTTAGGCATCTGCATGGACTACGTGGACGGATTCAACGTGATGCACAACCACCGGTGAAGGCTCCGCCATCAGTTTGGACAAAGGAGTTTTCGGAAACAGTTTCAATTGCGATTCGAGAACAGCGAGTTTCCCCACGGATGTTGAAAATGTCAGCAGAGCAATGGAAGGAGCATGTTCGTCGGGGACATCTGCCTTTTAGGTCCGACTGCACAACTTGCGTGACGGCAGGAGCTACCGGAAGGAGACACGCCAGGGTTGAGCACCCGTCGTGTTTTGTTCTGTCTGCAGATGTAAGTGGTCCGCTGAAGATTCCGGGGCTTGACGCAGATGCGCGTGGAGCATTTCCGAAGCCTCACAAGTATATGTTCGTTGCCAAGTTGAAGGTCCCAAAGACGTTCTTGGATGATGGAAGAGGGGTTTGTGTTGACTATGACCCGGGAGAGCTGGAAGCTGATGTAGAGCCAGGAGAGGACGCCTTTGACTACGTTGAGCCTCTAGCTGAGCATGCTCCTGGTGAAGGTCATGGAGATAGGGGTCCCGAACATCAAGAAGACCAACCGGATGATGATGGTCAAGAAGACGGCGAGGAAGATGATCAGCCTGGACAAAAGGTGAACCCGGAGGAGGAACTTGATATGACGGGTCCAGATACAGTGAATCTGATCTTTGCAACTGCCATGCAAGACAACAAAGGTGCTACAGTTTTGGAGGCAATACAGGATGTGGTTATGTACTGTTGGTCCTTGAATATACCGATCGTAAGATTTCACTGTGATCGTGGAATGGAATTCTACGCCAAGGCAACTAGACAATGGATCAAGTACCATGGAATGAGGTTTACCACCAGTGAAGGAGGACTACATCAACAGAATGGTATGGTGGAAAATGCAGTACGCTATATCAAGCAGCGTGCTAGAACTCTGTTGATTGGCGCAAAGCTTCCCCAGCGTCTTTGGCCGCAAGCAATTTCAATGGCAGCTTCAATGCAGAGGGCGACTACTTTGGGTATGGAAACTCGGTTGGTTGCGCCATTTGGAACCAAAGTCCTGGTCAGGAGAAGGGAGTATGGCGGGACCGCAGAGCCGGGGAAACCTGATGATTTAGCTCCACGTTGGTTGGAGGGTCGCTATTTGGGGTTGTCAGATACGTTGAGGCGTGGTCA